CCGTTTGGGAAGGAACTGGGGTCTGGGAAAGCGGTCGGCTCGTAGGATAAGGACGGGGGAGAAGGGACAAAGGTCCTCGGACACCCACCCGAGAGCAGGTCGAGGGGACCGAGAGCAGCTCAGTGGAGGTTCCATGCGTGTCTTGTGCACACCGGGTGCGACGTGGCGCCGAAGCCCAGGCTGTGCACGGGGCCTCTGACCACTGGGGACGGCCACGGGGTGGGGCCCCGGCCCGGCCTCGCTGCACGCTGGGACTCGGGGCCCTTGCCTCGCCGCTCTGTGCTGGGATGGCCTCACCTGCTCTACCTGGATGACAATAGAACCTTCTCACCGGGCAGCCTTGAGGACCCCGCCGGACTCTCCGTGGAAGGGCCGGTCACCCGTAGTTTGACTTCATGCCGCGCGGGCAGGTTGCTAAGTTCTTCCCTGGAAAGAGCAAAGATGAGAAACACGGGCCGTGTGCACCTAGAGACGGCCGGGTGCACACTTGGCGGCATCCTCAGTGGGGGTTCTGCGGGGGTGGGAGGGCGGGCAGGGCTCCCGCGCAGGGGCCTGGCCCGAGGGCAGCAGGCTGGTGCAGCCCCGCGTGTCCGGATGCGCCATGCGCGTCCAAGGAACGCGTGCAGAGAACAGCTCTGCGTGTGCGCGGCCTGACCCCGCACGTGCTGGCTCAGCAGGAACGGGGACGCCGGGCTCATCACGATGGCGGTGAGGGAGGACTGCAGGCGGCGACTTCCCTTACTGCGCCAGGTGGCTACGCCAGGGTGGGACACTGCGGCTGAAGGCCACACTGGCCTCCACCTGCGTCTGCACATGCAGGAGCTAGAAGTGCGTTTTATGTGTTAAAACTGTTAGAAACAATTGAAAAAAAAAACCAATATTATATGAAAGATGAAAATTGTTTAAGATGGCGATGCGCGCGGGTCTTCACGAGCGCTAACAGCCCACGGCCATGTGCCTTCAGACCCCAGTCGAGGCCTCGGGAGGAGCCTCCTTCGTGGAGGTGGAGGCGCAAGAGGCCGCAGCCCTTGGCAAGCGCAGCTCTGGAGCCCGAGCCCGAGCCGGAGGCTGCTCAATGGGGGCTTGTGTCCTCGTCACAGCCCAGCCCGAGGGCACTTTTCCTGGTGTTGCTGCCAGCTGGGTCCCTTCTTTCTCACTCCGGGCTGGCAGGGTCGGTGCCCACAAGGAGGCTCCGTCCGGCCGGGACTCCAGGGAGCGGTGGCCGGGGTGGCCGGGGGACCGGAGGAACAGTGACCAGCCTGGCCAGTGGAATCGGGACTTGTCCCAGTGCACGCTGGGGGCGCATTTTCAGGGTGCACCAGGCGGTGAGCACAGATGCACCTCCACACGCGTGCACTTGAACATGCACGATGCACCTCGAGGGCGCCCCAAAGACACGCGCTGCCCAGCATCTGCACGCGGGAGCCCGCGGACACGTACGCGCTCCTGCACCCTGTGTGCGGCGGGCTTGCGGGGTAGCCCACCTGGTGGCAGGTCCCTTCCCCACCCTTTCTGTCCACCCTGGCCCAGTGCTGGCCCTGAGCCCCGCTCGGGGACACTCAACACAGGCCCTTTGTCCCTCGGGATCAGGGCTCTCCAAGGGGGGGATTTGCTGAGCATTTATTTCCTGGCCCGGGCACGCCCCAGTCCCACCTCTGCCAGGAAACTGGACAATGAGGCCTTCTCGGCCCTGGGCTGGCTGGCCCTGGTGTCAGGGGTTGGGTTAGGGCCACACGCCCCTGGGCCCGCTGCCCTCCATGTGTGGGGCTGGGAAGCCACCTCTGTGGCCTGGAGCTCAGCAGACAGCCCGTCTCCATCTGCAGCCCCCTCAGAGCCTCGGGGCCTCGCGGGAAGCCCCCAGCCCCAGAAGGAGGGAGGAGCCCGTGCCCCTGGCTCAGGTCTGGGGCAGGCCTGGTTTGGCGGAGGCTCCTGGGGCAGGGCCCGAGCTGGATCCCCCACGCGGCCTAGCGGATCCCTGGAGCCTGGGGGATGGGAGGGCAGAGCCTGCCTGGTCGGGGTGGGGGGGATCAGGCAGAGTGGAGGGGCATCTCTGTCCCCTCCCAGGGAAGGCCCCCGGCTGCCAGGAAGGAGCCCCCCCAAGGGGAAGGCACGGGGGCAATTGGGGTGTCATTCCTGAAACGCTCAGCGCTCCCGGGCCCCTCCGCTCACTGGGACTCCGATCGCTGCCACGCTGCATGCCAAGCGTCACGTCTGCACACACTTCTCCCCAGAGCAACTCAGCACTTGTACTGGAAAACCAGGACACGGAACCACACCTTTTGCCTACTCTTTTTTTAATTAAATTCCATTACTGCAAGTGTTGAAAATAAAGTAAACTCTACCCACAATTCACATCAAGGGAGGTGAGTTCCCAGGTTCTGATTTCCGGTGTCTTAGTCAGCTCAGGCTGCTATGATAAAAGTGTCACACACTAGGGGTCTATTAAATGGTGGACATTTGTTTCTCGCAGTTCTGGAGGCTGCAAGTTCACAGTCAATGTGCTGACAAATTCGCTGCTTGGTGAGGGCGGTTTCCCAGCTTGTAGATTGTCATCTTCTCTCCGTGTCCTCACATGGGGTCGGGGGGTGGGGACAGCTGTGGTCTCCTCATCTTATAAGGACACTAACCCCAATATGGGGGTCCTTCCACAAGATGTCATCGAAACCCGATGACCTCCAAAGGCCCCACCTCCTAACACCCTCACATTGGGGCTTGAACTTATGAAACTGGGGGCACACAAACATTCAAACCATACCACCTGCTTAGCACCCCCATACTCTCCTGGGGCTGGTACCTGCTGGGACCTGGGGCTCTCGCGCTCTCCTGACCTCCTCTCTTGGGGGCCGCTCTGCTGGTGCGTCTGGCTCATTCGCTCAGGGCCTGCCCTGCAGAATGAAGGCACGAATGGCACGGGCTTAGCCTGCACCTGTGTACCAGAGTTGTAACCCCTCCTCCGATAGATATGGAAGGGAAATATTGGGCGTGGGGAATAGTAACAGAGAGAATGGCTTGGGAAAAAAAACCGGCAAAAATATTTTCTGTCTCTTTAAAACCTCCTCCACTCCTTTTTGAGAACTAGAGTCTGCATCCTGGCCGGCCTCGGGCTCAGGCCATGGCTGGGAGGGGCACAGTGAGTCTTTTGTTATTTGTGCTGAAGGAGTTGGCACAGCCCAGTCCTGGTAAAGGGAGGTCCTGGGTGGATGGAGGTCAGGGGATTGTCTTCAGCTAGGTGGGACGATCGGAACCATCCACTGTAGTGGAACAGTAACTGCCTGAATGAGAATCCATCCTTGAAAGCTCTGTGTTTCTGCTTATTGTGAGGGCCATGGCGTTTCAGACAGGAGTCTCCATCCTCCTCCTCTGTTGGCAAAGTAATCAAACTTCTCTTTCCTTGCTCCTCAAACCACTTGTTCTCGTTCTGATGCAGCCTGGAGAACAAGTGCTGAGGTTCTGGTAACAGATTTGGTGTCTCTGGTGTGGCCATTGGCTTCCCAGGTGGATGGCACCTGCGACCGCCGGAAGAGGCAGGGGCAGCTCTGGGTCCCGCCAGGGGTGGGAGCATCGCCTTGTCGGTACGAAAGAAAGGGACTCCTAGCACGTGCGGGGCAGGATTAGCTCCGAGGAGCCCATCTCTCTCTTTCCTGATGGACCCCGCTCCAACCAGCCTGAACCGATTTGAGGATAAGGAAATAGATTTGCGAAGCCTGTGACAACCACGGCCATTTGTAAGTAAAGCCCTGGGGGTGCCAAGACCCTGTTTCCACCCATTTGGGGGGTTCAGGCCACCTTGTTGGTTTAGAGGCACCGTTTGTGGGTGCAAATGTAGTGGTTTAGTGTAGCAGGGACCTGGTTTGAGTTTGGAGCTCTTTGTGGTTCCCAGGGAACAGGGGGGACTAGGCCACCATTTCGGGAGGGTTTCCCGGGGAATGGCGGGGGATGGAGGGGATTAGAAGTGATCCCTCTTTGCAAACCTTCCGGCCCTGTGGCGGGGCATTTGGGGCACTGTTGAGGTGCAATTTGGGGTGGCTTTTGTCCCCTTTGGATTCCCATTTGTTTGATAGGCCTGGCATTTTGTGTTGAGAATTCTGTTGTCTGTTTGTTTGGAAAGTTTTGTTGCAACGTAGGAAAGTTCCATTTAAAAGTCTCTTGGGAAAAATTTTGGCTAGATGGTTAACTTACAGCTGCTAACCTACGTCTAAGGAAAATGGTATTATCATAATCCAATGTGCGTGCTGGAGTATGAGGAAAAGTGGCTGTTAAATGAAACTTTAAATTTTACTGTCTTATAACTGAAATTATTTTGTCAAAGGTCAAGGAAATGGGACAAGATCCCATATGTGTTGGGTTATTGGGTAGAAAATGTTCGATTACCTTGTTTGATTCGAGGTCAGACATTTCATATTTAACGACCTAATAGAAGGTTAAAGGTCTGGGGTAAAGTCAATGGTTTAGCTAAACAGTTGAATTTCCCTGGCAGAAGGGGGGAACCAATGGGCACAGCCTGCCACCATGTGGTGAGGGGGTTGGGGGACAGAGTGCCTCCTGCCCCCACCCCCAGACATGGGTGCCACAGGACACCAACTCCCTGGGAGGGGGAGGGGAGTCAATCTGCAGGGAGGCGCTGCAGGCTCTGATCTACCCGTGCCAGAGGCCACAGCTGGTTGGGGAAACAGCCCAGCATGGGGGGTCCGGCCGGGGACAGCTAACACCCACCACAGCCATTTGTACAGAGTAAGGCGGAGGGAAAAATGCCTGCTGCCTGGCCACCCCTCCCCCACCCCCCGCCCCCTCCCCACCGGGTGCAGGTGCAGGTGTGGGTGCGGGTACGGGTGCGGGTGCTCACAACTGTGCATCGTGCCCAGCAGAATTTCTGTCTGCCTTTGGGGTTTGCCAAGAACAGTACTAAGGTACTTAAGAAAGAAAATTTTGTCTTATTTACATAAGGTCTTGGGTGGAGGTCAGGGGATTGTCTTCAGCTAGGTGGGACGATCGGAACCATCCACTGTAGTGGAACAGTAACTGCCTGAAGCTGAGAACCCATCCTTGAAAGCTCTGTGTTTCTGCTTATTGTGAGGACAATGGCGTTTCAGACAGGCGTCTCCATCCTCCTCCTCTGCTGGCAAAGTAATCAAACTTCTCTTTCCTTGCTCCTCAAACCAAAACCACTTGTTCTTGTTCTTTTGATGTGGCCTACAGAACAAGTGCCCAGCTGTCGGTAAGACCTGTGCCACTGGCACATGGCTGGGGACCTGAGCAGCCTGGCTGGGCCACGCACTCTGCCTCTGTCCTTGACTGCGCCTCACTCACTCACACAATCCACTAATCCACTCATCCGTCCAGGGCACTGGGCTGCGTCCCTGTTCCAGCTGCTGTGAGTAACGCCACTGTGAAGATGGGATGCGATTATCTCTTCCCAACCCCGGTTTCAATAGGGTGTGGACTCAGACATGGATTGCTGCACCCTGTGGGAATTCCTTCTATGTTTAATTTTTTGAGGAGGTGCCATACCGTTTTCCATAGAAACTACACCATTTTACTTCCCCACCAACAGTGAAGAAGGGTTCCAATTTCTCCACATCCTACTTGTTATTTTCTGTTTACAT